GTGGGCAGTACGAGTGAGAGCAGCATCATTAGAGTCACTTCTACGACCGCTACCTTCAGCACCACTTTGTCAAGCACGCCGGTGGACAGTACGAGCGAGAGCAGCACCACGACACAGAGAACGCTGATCCCTCTGTCGAGCACGTTGGTGGGCAGTGCGAGTGAGAGCAGGGCCACGAGAGTCACGACTACGACCGCTACCAGCAGCAGCACTCTGTCGAGCACGGCGGCGGGCAGTGCAAGTGAGAGCAGCATCTCGAGAGTCACGACTACGATCGCTACCATCAGCACCATTCTGTCAAGCACGTCGAGGGGCAGTACGAGCGAGAGCAGGACCACGAGAGTCTCGACTACGACCACCACCAGCAGGACCACTCGGTCGAGCACGTCGGCGGGCGGTGCGAGTGAGAGCAGCACCACGGGAGTCACGACTACGACCGCTACCAGCAGCACCGTTCTGTCGAGCACGTCGGGGGCAGTACGAGTGAGAGCAGCACCACGAGAGTCACGAATGCGACCGATGTCGCGGGAGTTACGAATGGGTTCCTCTTCCTTCGGAGGTGCTTAGCCGAGGCCTTTACGTTGCTTCCCCTTTCGGGGGCCTTCGGCTATGGCCAAGGCATCCCCCTGCAGGGCGATTGGACAGTTGCCCCACGAGACAGAGAGCGCTGCTCCCTCTGTCGAGCACATCGCTGGGCAGTGCGAGTGAGAGCAGCACCACGAGAGCCACGACTACGATCGCTACCAGCAGCACCGCTCGGTCGAGCACGTCGGTGGGCAGTGCGAGTGGGAGCAGCAGCGAGAGAGTCACGACCGCGACCGCTGCCATCAGCGCCACTCTGCCGAGCACGTCGGTGGGCAGTGCGAGTGAGAGCAGCACCACGAAAGTCACGACTACGACTGCTACCGGGAGCGCCACTATGTCGAGCGCGTCGGTGAGGGAGGGAGGGAGGGAGGGAGGGAGGGAGGGAGTGAGGGAGGGAGGGGGGAGGGAGGGAGGGAGGAGGGGAGGAGGATTGAGGAGAGGAGGAGGAGGAGGATGGATGAGGAGGAGGAGGAGGGAGGAGGAGGAGGACGGAGGAGGAGTAGGAGGAGGAGGAGGAGGGGGAGGAGGAGGAGGAGGAGGAGGAGGAGGAGGAGTAATACTACAAATAATAATAATAGCAATCATACCATGAATAATAATAAACATTCCATTAACAGCCGCAATAATAAGAGTAAAAACAACAAGACGAATCATACTAAGCATGATAAGAAGAGGATGAGGAGGAAGAGGAGAAAGAAGGGGAGGAGGAGGAGAAGGAGGAGAAGGGAGGCGGGGAGGAGGGAGGAGGAGGGAGTATCGTAGGGATTCTGCCATCACGTAGTGATGAGGCCAAACCGCGCCTCAGCTGACCTCCACGCGCTGCGATATAGAGGCCGACGCGACGAGCATGCCAGAGCTGGGCCAGACCACGCGGATACCGACCAGAGTATGTGCCTCTAAGCAAGACCATGTTCACCCACTCCAGGAGGAGGAGGGGGGATCGGCCAGGGCCAGGACGCGGAACAAAGTCTTCAGGAAGTTCTGGAAGGCTCTCCGAGCGTTGCAGAACGCTCTGGGAAGGCCGCGGCGCCCGAGACATCCTCGAGAGCCGCCAGATCTCAGAGGTTCTCACCTGATTTTGCCCTCGTTCTGGCTTCTTTTTAAATCCGCGGTCCTCGGAAGTTCCGACCCTTTCCCCAGGACCAGTTTTTCGCCCGAGCTGTTTTTCGACAGCCCCAGGGCCCGACGAGGCTCCCCAGAGGCCGAAAACGGCGAAGCACCCACGAAATGAACTTTTCGATGCGTTGGAGGTCTGGGGGACCGATCCTGGCCTCGTCCCAGAGATAAAGAGGGGGGGGGATATATCGGCAACACCCCAACATACTTATACTATATGTGCGTCGCCCCCCCAGGGGCGACGCGCGCACCGAGAAATCTTATAGTATATGCGTCGTGGCGGGCGCTTTCTGGCCACACCGCTCGGGAAACGATATACTACAAGATGGGTATACTATGTGTTCGGGTCGGACGCGCGCCTCCAAGGAGGACATGTAGTATCAGCATGTCCATGTGCGTCCCAGGGGGAGGAGGCCCTGCTCCGCCGCAGAGGCCCTGGGGACGGCGCAGCGCCTCGAGGTGCCGGCGCTCGTGTGCACCTCCTACCTGCTGCACGCGACGCGGGCGGGCCCGCTCTCGGATCTGCCGCGCTCGCCGTCCGCCGCCGCGCTGCCGTCGGGAGGGAGGGGCCCGGTGAGCCGACGCACGCCCTAGCCAAGATCGGAGCGGGCGGGTTTTGGCTGAGTAAGGCCGATGGGTGTAAGAGGAGGAGGAGGAGGAGGAGGAGGAGGAGGAGGAGGAGGAGGAGGAGGAGGAGGAGGAGGAGGAGGAGGAGGAGGAGGAGGAGGAGCCAAGATCGGAGCGGGTGGTTTTTGGCTGAGTAAGGCCGTTGGGGGGGCCTTCGCTGGGCCCCGGGCCCGTCAGACAGCCACTCGGGGCGCAGAAGCTGTCCCTGGGGGAGGTGGTCCAGACCTCCTGGGCCCACGCATCCAAACAATATAACATCCAGACGTCTGGGGTTCCAGCCGCATCATGCTCACCATCCTGCTGCCGATTGCGAGGGAGGACTTAGAGGAGGTGGTGGAGTGGTGTGTGGCGGCAGGGGGTGGATATCATGGCGCGGGCTATGAGATCTCAAGAGGTTTCCCGCCCCCCTCCGATTATGTCAATGCCTTCCTCCTCTGCCGCGCACACGCCTACGGCCATGATTTGCGCCCTCTCTTGGACGCCCTGTTGGACGCCCCCCCCTCTTGGACGCACCTGGAGGGGGGAGTTCGGTAGCAAATCATGGGGGCCTTGTGTACCCTCGTGACTCCGTCTTTAGAGTGCATTCGTGTCGACTAGTGTCTGGTAGTCGATGAGATAGCACCGATTGAGCGTCTATAAGCTTCGACTAGCGTCGATTAGCGTCGACAAAGCGTCGATTAGCGTCGACTCGCAAGAGACAACAAGATGATACGGGAGGCTCCCATGACTTGCCACCGAAAGACCGTTTTTACTTATCCTTATCCCTACGGGCCTGTGGTATCTGAGCCCCACCATCCCACTCTCCCCCAGTGGTGAGTAGGTCCCTCGAAACCCGAAGGGAACCGCCTACATCCCCATCTGGGGGGTACATCGGCCAGTGGGGCCCAGGCCACGACAGTGGGGATAAGGACCGGTGAAGCGATGCTCAACGGAGGGGGATTCGTCGGGGGCATCGATTGTCGAGGTTTTTTGGAGGCGCGCAGAAGAAGGTAGGGGGAGGGGGGAAGGCTTCTTAGAAGGAGGCTGCTTCTTAGAAGGCGCCGGCCTTACATCTACAAAGAAGGCCCGCGCCTTCTAAGAAGCAGGGTTGCTTCTAAGAAGCCTTCCCCCCTCCCCCTACCCCCTTCTGCGTGTGGCCAGGTTTTCTCGGGCGCTTTCGTTGCTTCTCGGCAGCTGTCCAGCCTCGGGCTGCCTCCCAGCGGCTGCTGCGCCTCGGCCGGAGCGTGCATTGGGGGGTGCCCGGATCGTTCCGAGGGGCCGTCGAAGACCCGAATCATGACCCTAAAACCGGGCGATGCGTTTTGTTGTTGTTGTAGTTGTTTTGGACGCCCGACATGGGTACGGAAAGAATGGGTACAATGCCCAACAGCAGTTCTTGTTCATTTTGAACAGGATTCGCTGTGCACGCCGCCGCGGCCTGTGTCCATGCGAGACAGAGGGCCGCCTGCCCAACAGCGGCCGCTGTTGGTTTGGAACAACAGTTGTTGTTGGGCATTGTACCCATTCTTTCCGTGCCCATTTCGGGCGTTCAAAGTTGGTGTTGTTGTTGCTGCTGCTGCTGTTTCTGTTGCTGTTGTTGTTGTTGTTGTTGTTGTTGTTGTTGTGGTTGTTGTTGTTGTGGTTGTTGTTGTTATGTTGTTATGTTGTTGTTGTAGTTGTTGTTGTTGTTGTTGTTGTTGTTTCTGTTTTTGTTGTTGCTGCTGCTGCTGCTGTGGTTGTGGTTGTGGTTGTTGTTGTTGTTGATGTTGCAGTTGTTGTTGCAGTTGTTGTTGTCTTTTTTTGTTGTTGTTTTGATTCGGTTTGTTTTGTTGTCTGTTGTTGCTGTTGCTGTTGCTGTTGTCGTTGTCGTTGCTGTTGTTGTTGTCGTCGTTGATGTTGTTATTGTCGTTGTCGTTGTTGTTGTCTCATTATTAGTAGTTGTTGTAGTTGTTGTTGTTGCTGTTGCTGTTGCTGTTGTTGTTGATGTTGCTGTTGTTGTTGTTGTTTGGTTTGTTGTTGTTGTGTTGCTGTTGCTGCTGTGGTTGTTGTTGTTGCTGTTGCTGTTGTTGTTATCGTTATTGTTCTTGTTATTGTTGTTGTGGTTGTTGTTATTGTTGTTGTTGTTGTTGCTGTTGCTGTTGCTGCTGCTGTTGTTGTTGTTGTTGATGATTAGTGTTGGTTATGGTTGTTGTTGTGGTTGTTGTTGTTCTGTTGTTGTTCTGTTGTTGTTGTTGTTGTGGTTGCTGCTGTTGTGGTTGTGGTTGTGGTTGTTGTTGTTGCTGTTGCAGTTGTTGTTGCAGTTGCTGTTGTCTTTTTTGTTGTTGTTTTGATTCGGTTTGTTTTGTTGTCTGTTCTTGCTGTTGCTGCTGCTGTTGTCGTTGTCGTTGCTGTTGTTGTTGTTGTCGTCGTTGATGTTGTTGTTGTCGTTGTCGTTGGTGTCGTTGTCGTGTTATTAGTAGTTGTTGTAGTTGTTGTTGCTGTTGCTGTTGCTGTTGTTGTTGATGTTGCTGTTGCTGTTGTTGTTGTTGTTGTTGTTTGGTTTGTTGTTGTTGTGTTATTGTTGCTGCTGTTGTTGTTGTTGCTGTTGCTGTTGTTGTTATCGTTCTTGTTCTTGTTATTGTTGTTGTGGTTGTTGTTATTGTTGTTGTTGTTGTTGCTGTTGCTGTTGCTGCTGCTGCTGCTGATGTTGTTGTTGTTGTTGTTGTTGTTGTTGTTGTTGTTGTTGCTGTTGTTGTTGTTGTTGTTGTCGATGATTAGTGTTTATTATGGTTGTTGTTGTGGTTGTTATTAATGTTGTTGTTGGTGGTGGTGTTGGTGATTGGTGCTCTTGGTGCTCTTGTTGTTGTTGTTGTTGTTGTTGTTGTTGTTGTTGGCGAGGACCATCCTGTGCCCTCGCACCATCTTTTCGAGCTGGGAACTCGTTGATTTCATTGCTTTGTTTATTCATTCAGCTATCCCCCCTCCGTCCCTCCTCCCCACATGCGGCCCTCCCTCTTTCCCTCCTCCACTTTACCCCTCCTCGCTTCACGTTCCCCAGAGGTGCGAGGGACTTCTTGCTGCGGTTTCCCTACTTCTATTCACCGGGCCTGCTGTGTGTCATTCCGCTGCACGCTGCTGTGCCAGTCACGGTGTGGCGACCTATGATTCTTATGCTGGCCGCTCCCGGGCTGCCATTCGGCCCACACGGGGCAATCGGTGTGCCAGTACCGTCGTTCTGAGGCACGGATGTTGGGGCGTGGGCACCTGCGCCCCCCGGGAGTGCTTCCAGTCAGGAAGGCGGCGAAAGGTCCGCGTGTGCTCGGGAAGGGGGCCCTCCGTCGTGTCGACGCGGCGGCGACCTGGCCGCGGGCTGTCAAGATTGAACGGCCGCCAGTGGCATAGAATCGGCCGATAGGGAACGATGAGGCGATCGAGAAGCCGCCGACCCTTCAAGGCTGAGCAGTCCACGCGGTGTCCGAAACCAACGCTGGGGTCGTCACGACACGAACCTGCCGTACGTTGGCCCCCAGAGGTCTGGACCCCTTCCCCGGGACCAGCTTTTCATCAAGCGTCGTCTTGTGACGGCCTGGGGCCCGCCAAGGGCCCCTGGCTGCCGGTAATGGTAAAAAGCTAGCCGTCGTATCGTTTTTACAGTCAGAGGAGGTCTCGGCACCCTGCTGCGACAGTCCAGCAGGATGGGGCCTCTTCGTCTCGGACCGTCCGCTAGATAGGTCGGGGAACCTGGACCTATTCGTGGCGCGAAAGGTCTGGGGAGTATGCCGAAATGAGCGCGGGCACGCACGCGGACTTCGCCCCTGGGGCCTTCGGTTGAGCTACCCGTTGTAGCGCGACGAGGGCCCCTGAAGGCCGAGAATCGGTGCAGGCCTCCAGTCGTGACCTTTCTACACCGCGAGGAGGTCTGGGCTCGGCACCACTCAAGCATGCTTCTACTATATGTGCACTGGCCACGCAAGGGCGACGCGCACGCTCGGAACTCTTGTAGTATATGCTACGTGGCGGGCGCTTTCTGGCCATACCGCTTGTGCTATACGTTCGGGTCGGATGTGCGCCCCCAACAGGGGCACATAGCACCAGTATGTCCTCATGCGTCCCACCTTAGGGTCCCCTTGCCCGACTGCATCTGACGCGATGGGGTTTTTGGTGGAGTTCCAGGTCCGCTATGACACGCGTCCGCGGACAGGGGAAACATCAGCGCAGCGGGAAGGGACGGGTGGGAGCGGTAGGATGTCAGATAGGTCCTGCTCTTGCTGCAGGGGGCTGGGGCTGTCCTGCGAGCCCTGCACTGGTAGCTGCGTGGTCGCAGATCCCCCATCTTTGGCGGCTGGAACGGCTCCGAGCAAGCCCGCGCCCTGCAGAGCGCGCGGGGCGCGAAGGAGAGGGCAGCGAGGCAGCGTCGAGCACAGGAGGCCCGAGGCAGCGCCACGGCGCCGAGGGGGAGGCTTTCATCCCGAGATGGGGGCGAGAACCCGCAGGAGGAGGCGGAGGAGGAGGAGGAGGAGGAGGAGGAGGAGGAGGAGGAGAAGGGAGGAAGGAGGAGGAGGAGGAGGAGGAGGAGGAGGAGAGAGGAGGAGGAGGAGAGGCGGAGGGGAGGAGGAGGAGGAGGAGGAGGAGAGAGGAGGAGGATGAGGAGGGAGGGAGAGGGAGGAGGGAGGGAGGGAGGAGGGAGGGAGGAGGGATGGAGGGAGGGAGGGAGGGAGGGAGGGAGGGGGAGGGAGGGAGGGAGGGAGGGAGGGAGGGAGGGAGGAGGGAGGAGGAGGAGGAGGGAGGAGGTATGAGAGGAGGAGGAGGCGGAGGAGGAGGGAGAGGAGGAGGAGGAGGAGGAAGGAGTGAGGAGGAGGAGGAGAGGAGGAGGAGGAGGTAGGAGGAGAGGAGGAGGAAGGAGGAAGGATGAGGAGGAGGAGAGGAGGAGGAGGAGGAGGAGGAGGGGAGGAGGAGTGAGGATGTAGGAGGAGTAATGAGGAGGCGGAGGATGAGGAGGAGGAAGGAGGAGGAGGAGGAGGAGGAGGAGGAGGAGGAGGAGGAGGGAGGATGAGGAGGAGGAGGAGGGAGGGGGGGAGGAGGAGGAGAGGAGGAGGAGGGGAAGAGGAGGAGGAGGTCGGAGGAGGAAGGAGGTAGGAGGAGGAGGAGGAGGAGGAGGAGGAGGAGGCGGAGGAGGAGGAGAGGAGAGGAGGAGGAGGAGGAGGAGGAAGGCGG